CTGGGATTACAGGCACCTACCACACCCAGCTAATTTTTGTTTTTTAGTACAGACGGGGTTTCACCATGTTCGCCAGGATGGTCTCGATCTCTTGGCCTCGTGATCTGCCCACCTTGGTCTCCCAAAGTGCTGTGATTACAGGCGTGAGCCACTGTGCCTGGCCACATTTCCTGTTTTATCTTCTGACGATTCCTATTGTACTTGGTTTCTTTCTTTCTTTCTTTAGTTGTGAAGGACTTGCTCTGTCACCCAGGCTGGCGTGCAGTGGTGCGATCTTGGCTCCCTGCAGCATCAGCCTCCAGGGCTCCAGCACTCCTCCTGGCTCGGGCTCCTGAGTGGCTGGCTTGATTCTCAGGCTACACACTAAACTCAACTTGAGCTAAAATTCACTTCAGCTATGTCTGTAGCCGCTACATGTATGCACCACAACGTCCAGCTAATTTTTGTATTTTTTTGTAGAGACAGGGTTTCCTTTGTTGTCAGGCTGGTCTTGAACTCCTGGGCTCAAGCAATCCTCCCACTTTGGCTTCCCAAAGTGCTGGAATTACAGGTGTGAATCACCGTGCCAGCCTTTATTTTAATTTTAATGATTTCTCCATCATTAGCCACAGCTCTCATTATTTTCCTTTATGGCTTTGGTCACATAGAGAGGCCCAGAGTATGAAAATATTCTCCAATATCCTTTGCCAGTTTTTCATTTTTATTTTTGGAAACAGAGTTTCACTCTTGTCACCCAGGCTGGAGTGCAATGGTTCAATCTTGGATTACTGCAATCTCCGCTTCCCAGGTTCAAGCAGTTCTCCTGCCTCAGCCTCCCAAGTAACTTGGATTAAAGGTGCCTGCCATCACCACACCCAGCTAATTTTTTTTTTTTTTTTAATTTTTAGTAGAGATGGGGTTTCACCATGTTGGCCAGGCTGGTCTCGAACTCCTGACCTCAGGTGACCCACTCACCTTGGCCTCCTAAAAAACTGGGATTACAGGCGTGAGCCACTGGGTCCAGTCCAGTTTTTTCTTTCCTTCTTTTTTGTTGAGACAGAGTCTTCTCTGTCACCCAGGCTGGAGTGCAGTGGCATGGTGTCCGCTCACTGTAATCTCCACCTCCTGGGCTCAAGTGATTTTCCTGCCTCAGCCACCCCAGCAGCTGAGATTACAGGCACATACCACCACACCCAGGTAGTTTTTTGTATTATTAGTAGAGATGGGGTTTCACCGTGTTGGTCTGTCTGGTCTCAAACTTCTGACCTCAAGTGATCCACCCACCATAGCCTCCCAAAGTGCTGGCATTATGGGATGAGCCACTGCGCCCAGCTCCTTTTCTAGTTCTATCCCTTGTTGACACTCTTGTTTTCGGGAGACAGAGTCTTGCTCTATCCCCCAAGCTGGAGCGCAGAGGTGCAGTCATGACTCACTATATCCTCGAACTCCTAGGCTCAAGTGATCCTCCCGCCTCAGACTCCCAAGTAGCTGGGATCACAGATGCCACCATGGCCGGCTCCGTTCTGTTGTTCTTGTAATTGTGTGCTTAGGTCCTTAATCCACCTGGAAATCACTGCTGTTTACGGGGTGAGGTTAGGCTTAGACTTCATTTCACACCAGCAGCAACTAAGGCAGTACAATTATTGACTAATTCGCCTGCTTTCCATGGTTTGAGATGCCACACTTCTCAGAGACGGATTCCCCATGGCTCCAGGTCTGTCCTTGGCTCTCCGCCCTGAGCTTGTGAGCTCACATCACGGGTTTGTCGCTGCCTGCCTCAGCTGCTGCAGCTTTCTGTGGAATCCTGCAAGCTTGTTCTCTCATTTTCTAGGCTATTCTCACATGTTTCCTCTACTGGATGAACTTCAGTTCCATTCATAGAGTTCCAGAAAAATCTCCAACAAGTGTGTGGGTATTTTTACTGGTAATGAATGGATCCCCGTGAGAACGGTGGGCTATGACGTCACCAGGCAGCTCACAGGGTGTGTCTTCAGGTCCAGGCACGTGGCATCACCCTCTGGGTGTATGGTTTCTGTCACGTCCTTCAAGGATGCTTCCGTATCTTACACAGGCCTGTCTCTTCTCAAGGTTACCTGTGAACATTTTCTAGGTCTGGCTACTATGTCAGTAGAATCTCTCCTGAGGGCTGCCTTGCCCGTGCAGAGCAGAGTGGAGGGAAAGATCAGCTGTGTGGACTCCAGATTCCAGCTCAACAATGCAGGGCACATAGTGTACCTTCTTATTTGTAAAACAGAAAAATAAGCTCCTCAGTGAATACTTGCTGTGAAATTCCCACCAGGTAATGCGGTAACAGCTGGTACAGATCCCAGCCAGCCACGTGCTTAGTGAGTATTAATTCCCTTACTGCTTATTATGCCAATTCGAAGATGTCCTTTTTTTTTCTCATGTTAATATTTCTGAAATTTCAGTGGGTCTTAAACAATCACTGTCACATTATAGTTTAATTTGCTGCAGTTTTTTCTTTCTTAAAGGTTCCTAAAATAATGGTGTGTCGGCTGGGTGTGGTGGCTCACAGTTGTAATCCCAGTGCAGTTTGGGAGTCCAAAGTGTGAGGATCATTTGAGCCTAGGAGTTTGAGACCAGCCCTGGCAACACAGCAACACCCCACTTCTATAGAAAAAAAAAAGGTGTCTTAAAATTGGTGTTGTCTGAGATTTGATGGAATATAACAGATGCCCAACCTGGGCTCTTTTTATGCCTCCATTGCCAAAGGAATTCAGAGAAAAAATGCTGAGAGGCACCAGGCTGCCAGCGCAGGCACTGGATGGAGGGACACTGCTCTCCACCTGCTGACTTTCAGCAGAAGCACCCTCCTGTCACATGCGAAGCTGACGTGTTTCTGAAATGATGCTCTTTCCAGATCCATGCAGTTCCGGCTCTCCCCTCCTTGGCAGCCACACAAGGGTGTACTCCTTTCCCTGCTGTCTTCAGGAGCTTGTGCCCGTCCTGTAGCTGAGCTGGACATGGGCGAGCCCTCAGCTCATTCCTCTATCCTGGGTGCCGGAGAGCAGGCTCCTCTGTTTCAAAAACTTTCTATCAACAGATTGCAGCAACAGGACGAGGTCCCCACTTCTCAGGACCACCTTTTTCTTTTCCTTTCTTTTTTTTTTTTTT